CTACTGATCCTTCTTCTTTGCTCCTAATCTTTGCATTCCACTCACCAGTAATGATCAATTTCATCTTGATTGCATGTTTGATCGATTTCAGATTGAAGAAATTGGTAGAATTCTTCTATTTCATCCTCCCTTGCTTTAGTGGTTGGTGTGTAAATTTGAATAATAGTGGTATTAACTGGGCTTCCTTGTAAGTGCATGAATATTATCCTATCACATACAGCGTTGCACCTCATGACTGATCTGGATATGTTCTTTTTGACAATGAATGCAACACCATTCCTCTTCAATTTATCATTCCTAGTGTAGTAAACCATGTGGTCATCAGATTCAAGATGGCCAATACCAGTCCATTTCAGCTAACTAATGCCTAAAATATCAATGTTTATATATTCCATTTCATATTTGACAACTTCCAATTTTCCGAGATTCATACTTTGTACATTCCATGTTCTGATTTTCAATGGATGTTTACAGCTGTTTCTCTTGATTTTGAACTGTGCCCCATCAGCTAATGAAGGTCTTGCAGGCTTTTTCTCTCACGACCTTTACTCCATTCATGTTATCAGGGTCAGTTCTACTTTGAGGAAGCAACTCTTCCCCTGTCACATTTTGAGTGCCTTCCAACTGAGGGGTCATTTTCCGGCACTATATCTGACAGTGTTTCTCTGCTATTCATAAGGTTTTCAGTGACTAAATATTCGGAAGTAGTTTGCCACTCTTTCTTCTTAGTCTACCTTTGTTTGGAAGCTCATCTGAAACCTGTCCACCACTGGTGACCCTGCTGGTATTTAAAATACCGGTGGCATAACTCTCAGAATCACAGCAACTCTCAAGCCACCACAGTGTGACAGACTGACAGACGAGTGGTGGCCGTTTGGTTTTAAGTGTAAACTGTCACTTTAAATTTCTCTTCATGGTAGAATTGATAAATAATGGTACCTACTTCATAACATTGTTTGGGTTAAATAAAGTAATATATTTGTAACACTCAGAATAGCTCTGACATAATGCTGCAGAAATTTGAGGACTAGGTTTAAATCTTTTATTCATTCATTCATTAAATAATGTAACAAATATTGGGGTAAAATACATTATCATATATGCCTTGTTCCCCTAATAAAACAATGCATGATAACAAATATAAAGCTATCAATATTTCATCTTTTTAGGGCATATTTTCCACATCCAATGTATAGTCAGAGGTATTTGTTTTTAGGATCTGAATTTATTTGCTAGTCAATGTTTTTTTTCTAGACCTCCCAGTCTCCTGATGATTTTGCTAATTAACATGTGGAACAACATTAGGCTAACTCTAAGGTGTGCTCTTTGCTCTCTTGACATCCTGATATTCTCTTGATGTTTATTGTGTGTTCATACTGTTTCTCCCCATTCTTACAGGCAGGAAAAGTTCAATTTGGTTATGTGTATGGCATGAGTGCCATTGGCTGCATTGGGATTCACACCTTACTGAACTTGATGAGCTCTGCAGAGGTGTCCTATGGCTGTGTGGCGAGTGTGCTTGGTTACTGCCTGCTCCCCATGGTCATCCTGTCCAGCTGTGCCATCTTTTTTTCACTTCAGTAAGTATCTGTGTGAACTAATTGACCCCACTTGCACAATTATCACAAAAGCTTGTCACACTGAGCAAAAGTTAACTTCTTTCTCATCAGTTGGGTGGTGGAATTCAGGAAAATATAGCTATTAGAAGTTTCACACAGATTCAGCAAAGTAGGTCAGTTTGGTCTCAGGTGTTGTTTCTAGTTTGATGATTAAAAAAATTAAACCAAGCTATCTCTAAAACTGGCACTTTTTAAAGCTGTCACATTCTTCAATGTGAACTATTGTCATGGGTAATGCAACAACTACAGAAAATTCACTTGTTTGATTTGATTTGATTTTGGAAGGCTGAATATATGGTAACAAACTGCTTCAACTCCCAGGCATTCTGTCTTCTAGGCTGGAAGTAACTTTCCTTTCTCAGCTGGATTCCTTGCAACACAGAATTCTCAGGAACCCTGATGAAGATGTTAGTACTTGAGAATGTTATGGCATACGTGCTAATCCATTTTTTTTCTTCCTTTACATAGTTTGTATTTATAATTCAAAACTATTAATAAGGATAAGAGATAGAAGTTTGTGTTGGGCATCTTCCCTGGACATAAACATGCTTCTACCACTTAGGCTGGAGAAAGGTTATCACATGCCATCTCTAAAAACCACTAGAAATAAATATTTCCCATCAGTGTTCATTATAAATCTATATGTAAAGTTTGAATTTTCTTATAGTTGGTCCAAGTCATAAGTAATTAAAACTACACTGCAAAATATATGAGGAGTTTACCAACGCCACTGATAAACATCTTAGCTAAACCTTTAATAACTTGTTTTGGTATGTTGTTTTTGTTGTAAAGTGCTATCCATTGGAGCATGTATAGGGTTTTCATGGAGCAGTTGGTGGGTTTGAACTGCCAACATTGTGGTTAGCAGTCCAGGACTGATCCAACAGCATGACACCAGAAATCCACAATTGCAGTATAATTTAATTACATAAAATTCTTGGTAATTAGAAATGTTTTTAATTTTTGTTTTAATGTGATCTCATTTTTAAACTAATATTTTTGAGATAGACTCAGAGCAAACATTTATGTTACATTGAAAAAGAGAACTATGACAGAAAATGGATACCTTGAATGTATAAAGATAATACGAGTGTTCTTTATATTTTTGAGTTCTATCGACGGCGCTTAACAACACCAAATCCATTGAAAATGTTCACACTTGTATTCATTCCCTTTAACAATCTGTTCCATATATTTTATTTTTTAATAAAGATATTTGAAAAGTTAGTACAGGATTTAGATTCTAAAATTCTATTTTGTTAGATACTTCTGCCAAGGAATATTATTGTGCTCTATCCTTTAAACTTTCCAAGTTTAAGCATTATTTTTAGAAAAGTTGAGATTTATACAATCTTAAATGATTCCTGGTGTGGCACTGCAGATTAATGGGCTGGACTGCAAAGTCAGTTTAAACTGCAAGGTCGATTGTTCAAGCTCACCAGCCACTCCTTGTAAACTCTATACTGGATCACTATGGATCGGAATCAACTGGGAGGCACTTAACAACAACAAATAACTCTTAAACCACTTGCCTGCTATTTTGTCATACTGTGGTGGTTAGTATGTTGCTGTGACGTGGGAAGCTATACCACTAATATTTAAATACCAAAGGGGTCAACAATGTCAGATAGATTTCAGCTGAGCTTCCAGACTAAGACACTAGGAAGGTGAGAGACAGACTACATCTGAATATTTAGTCACTGAAAACATTATGAACAGCAGTGAGAGACTGTCAGCACCAAAATATTGAATATTGAAACATTGATGAAGAACATCAGAATATTGTCAGATAAAGTGTCAGAAAATGAGCCCCTCACATTGGTTGTTGTTGTTAGGTGCCATTGATTTGGTACCGACTCATAGCAACCTTAGATCAGTAGAACAAAACACTGCCTAATCCTGGGCCAACCCCACTACTGTTGCCATGCTTGAGCCCATTGATGCTGCCACTTTGCCAATCCATCTCGCTGGGGGTCTTCCTCTTTTTCTCTGACCCTCCACCTTATAAAAC